TAATTTTGTCACTTGGTCAAAGAATGCAATAAGGTTTGTCTGGCATGATCTGTTTGACCTAAAACCGTGTTGGCTTTTAGTAATGACTTGGTTTGCCTGTAGGTGTTTGCTGATTTGTTGTTTGATTATCTTTTCCAGAATCTTCCCAGGTATTGAGGTCAGGCTGATAGGTCTGTAATTTCCTGGATCCATTTTTTTCCCTTTTTTGAAGATAGGAACTACATCAGCTCTTTTCCAGTCCTCTGGTAGATCCCCAGTGCTCCAGGATCTTTGAAAAATATAGTTCAGTGGTTCTGAGATCACATCTGCCAGTTCCTTGAGAACTTTGGGGTATAATCCATCTGGTCCTGGTGATTTGAACTCATCTAGGCTGGACAGGTGCTCACTTACCATTTTCTTGCCTACCTTAACTTGTGTTTCTATTCTGTTTTTTATGGCACTATTTTTGATAGGTTGGTCTGCTTTTTCCCTTTGTGTAAAGACAGATGCAAAAAACGAGTTGCTTGTCATCTTCTTGCCACTTTCACCCACTAATGGACCAATCGTTTCCTTCACTTTTTTCTTGTTTTTTATGTGTTGAAAGAAGCTTTTTTGTTATTTTTGACTTTGGTCGCAAACCTTAGTTCATTTTGCGCCTTAGCTTTCCTCACTTCATCTTTGCAGGCTCGGGCTATTTGCTGATATTCTGACTTAGTTATGTAAATAACAATAATAATAAAAAAATCCCCTTACAACAATCTGAATAAAAGCTATATCTTCATTTCCCTGCATGTATGTATCAACTCTGTTTTACAGAATTAATCCACTAGTTTAGAGTTGTTAGGAATTGGGAAATGTACAGATTTAATAAATCACAACCAGGCTACTTAATCCATATCCTTTCTATTACTTTCATATTCATTCAATGTTAGGCAGACTGCACAATTAAATGAGGAATATGGATCTGAATATTAATGTATTAAAGACCAAGGGTTTGACAGGGAAAATGGAATGAACAATTTCAAGTTGCCCATAAATTATGAAAAACTAAAGGAAGTAGACAAATCTTTGTACATTGACAGAATGTTTATTAAAGGTGGAGAAATGGAAGAATTATTAAAATGTACAAATGCTAATTACAAGTTACATGGTCTTTTGCTTAAAAAAGGAATAAAAATGGTTCAATAAGATTTGGGAGACAGAGCCAGTTTGGTGTAGTTATTAAGACCCTGGACTAGACACATAGTGATTGTGAGTTCTAGATACACCTTAGGCACAAAGCCAGCTGGCCACTCATTCCCTCTTAGCCCTAAAAAGTAGTGTCTCATCTGTTATCTATATCTCATCAATACTAGCCTAGCCCAATCCTAAAATGATTCTTAAACAAACTCCCTGAGCTTTTCCAGGCTTAGACTCTGGGCTTCCCTCAGATCTATACTTCCATGAATACCTCCTCCTAGTCCCATCGTTTTGCTGGAATGTACTGTATGCATTTGGTAGGAGGAGCCCAATATTGTTTGACACTTTCTTTTGATTGGCACTTCTACCACTGAGTCAACACAGTCACACAGAAACTTCATCACTAATACGTAGAGAAATCAACTGACATGAGAATAATGGTTCTCTATTTCCAACAAGGTTTGCCATATTTAGATGTGATCTCTGGAGTAGCTTAGAAAATTAAGAATATAAAAGGACTATGGTGGAAAAGTTTATAATAAGAGCAAGAGATGATAGTGAACAGATGACAGGTGACCTAATTAGAATCAAATTAGTTGTATAGTGTATAATCCCAGAAAAACACATACTTTTTTTTCATCTAGGGAACAGAAAAATGTTCTCTAAAAGAAGGTGTGGAGATTTGTCATATATAGACAAATTATTCTTTTGAACCCTAACCATTACTGGATTACTAAAGCTTGGTACATGGGGTTTTTGTTCTGGCTTTATTATATTATATCTTCAAGCTTTCCCTGACAAATTGTGAAAATGAAATTGAAATGTTATTTTTAAATTTTGGGTCAGGTAAGGCAATGATGATCATATGCTCCTTCATGAGAGTCCAGTCAAAATGTCATTGGGTTTCATAGCTTTTCTGAATATTCTGGCTGATTCTAAGAGGCAGATTAATGGGTTTAATCTCTTCCTCAGTCAGAGAATAAAAAATCTTCTCTACAATCTCTGCAACTCAAATATGAAATATCTATAATCGGCATTCATTAAACATAAATGTTTTATCCATGATTAGCCTACAGTTTACAGTATTTTTTCTTCTTCCATTCAATCCAAAGATACCACACTGCAGTTACCAAACCTGTTCTTCAATCGTGCCCTGAATAATATGCAAAAGTGAACTGAGAGGGCCAGTTTAGTCTAGTAGTTAAAGCACCAGACTGTGTGAGTTTTAATCCTGTCTTGGGGACCCAGTTATTGGGTGAATTTGTGTGAATCACTGTCCCTCAGCCCAACCCCCCTCAGACAGTTGTTGTTGTGGAGACAATAAAAGGAAGGTAGATATATTCACCACCTTGGGTTATTTGTAGAAAATAATAATCAGAATTTGTTTATTTCCTGCCTTTCTTATTTTTACAAATAGCTCAAGGTGGCAAACATATCCAACATAGCTTCATCTTCCTATTTTCCCCATAACAACCAGTCTGAACATCTGGCTGACTGTATAACAAACAATAAGTAGTAATCAAAATTAAAAATAATAGTCAATTCCCTTAGTTTGAAGTGGCATTTTTGAGAGAGGCTCAGGTATATATCACAGAAACATTTTCTAGCAATCTTTGGGCATAACTATTTAATGTGACCTAGGGTCAAGGGGCAGAAAAAGAGGGGAGGCAGGAATCATTCAGTACAAGATTATTAGGATATGAATAACAATGCAGTTGGTGAGTTATGAACTTTAATTATATCATAAGAGAAATTTTAAACTATTTCTGAAAAAAGTAAAGCTATCACTATAATGTTCAGTGGTTTGCAAATTAAAATGTGGAATGTGTAACATGGATGAATTGATACTAATAGTGATGGTGAATCATTAGTGATAGTGTTTGGTCAATAAATTTAAATGTAGTCAAAGACAAAAATAAATTGATTGATAGCAAAATGAGTATAAGAACAACTACTGGGGATTCATGGAATAACTATCACTTCTATAGTGCATAATGAAATCTTTTATTACTGCAGGGTACTAGCAATTGCTTCACAAAATTCAAAAGTTATGTTGAAGTAAGAATTGATTGAGGCTACAAAAATGAGCATTCTCTGAGCAGGAGTGAAACTAGCAAGTAAAATATATAACAGCAATAGAGATCACTGTAATCAGAGTAATTTCAAACAGAGGCAAGCGGAGGGGGGACAATGGTCAATAAAACAAGAATGTTGTATTCAATTTTTCTGGGAAAGGAAAGAAGTAAACAATTTTCAAGGTGGCTAAACTTTATATGGCAAAGGGAAAATAATTGTTGACAGTTAATAATGGCTAACATAAAGTTCCCATGGATTTTTACTGATGAACAATGAACTCAGTATTTCAAAAGAGATGTTTGAATCTCAAATTTTATTGCATATTTCTATCATTTTCATATTATGAAAAAATTCTCAAAAGAGCATCTGATTCAGTGGCAGCACATAGCTGATTTTAGCTAATCTTGAAAACCAAGCCTTGTTAGGTGTGGTCAGAATTTGGATGTGATTACAGCAAATCCAGCTGGAATACAATGTTGATGCTTCATTAGGAATGGAGCTTGATTTAAAGGAACCTTTAGTTTATTTTTATATTACAAATTCCCTTACCAACAATTCCAATGTAGGAAAGATTTAGAAAGGAATCACTAAATTGACAACATCACCAGTACAATTAATAAGCCATTGAAAAAAAATTAGATAAAATCAGAGTGATTTTTTAAAAAAAATTGTGGGGCTTTTTTTAGAAAATGGAAATTGTAATTTTCTTAAAAAAAAAAAAAGAAGACATGAACTTACACAAAAATAATTCAGGAAAAGAAATTAGACTGTTTCTTTTCCTGACTGATTAACACACTTATTTAGCTGTGTCTCTGGGTGGCATGCAATAAATAAAAACAACAAACATTATAAAACACTAAATTATTGTTTTTTGACATAAGAATTAAAGTTTATAAATATAAAGATAAAAACTAATAAAAAACACTGAAGATATGAAAATTGGAAAAAAAGGATTGAGAGAGGAAAAGAGATAAAAACTCAAAGGAACTTTCAGCTAGACTGGAAAGTCAAACGACGGCCGAGCTTGGAGTTATTACATTGCTATACATGCCATAAGCATGCCCTCCCACAGAATCCATGAAACCTTACCTGGTCGTTCTCAGGGGAAGGCAACCAGTTTGGTAAGATTCTTGTAACATAGGTGATAAACAATAACATTTCAGCTTGAGGCTATTTACAAGTGTTTCTGGTTGCTTGTGCCTGATATGACTCCCTTCATCCTCCAAATAAGTATAAGCAATTTCAGTAACTTAACATATTTTTGCTAGTTCACTAATAATAATAAAAGGTTCTCCTTCCCATATCTCATCACTTATCAATATCAAATTATATTAATAAATATCTTTCAGTCCTAATCAGCCTTTTGTTCGAAATGGTATAGGGTTACCTGCCTGAGCAGGGGGTTGGACTTGATGACCTCCAAGGTTCTTTCCAACATCATCACCACCATCATCATCATTATTATTAATCAGCAAAAGAGCTATCAGGAATAGTAACTATATATTTTAATCTTAAATCAAATAAATCTGTTTCTCAATCAAATTTATCACTTTTCCTAAATCATTAAACAAAAAAGTCTCTATTTATAAACCATTCTTTAAAGCCTCATCATTCAATACTAGTCAAAAAGAAATCCAATTAATACCTACCCAAAACTGCAGTGTATATATTTTAATTCTGATCAGATAAATTCACTTCATATATCTTCTGTTTTCCTTTTTAAAAGGAACATCTTCAATCCCATTAAAAAATGTCCCAGAAGTTGATTAGTTATCATTTTTTTATTTGTCTTCTTTTAGGAATAGCTTGAATAATTTCTCTTTATCTACTCGTAGGAACAGTTTGATTAGTTGAACAACTTCTTTTTGTAAACCCAACAGGAGAGGGCCTTCCGAGTCTTTATTCTGATTTATTATTTGCATGACTTTTTAATTATTTTTTAATTTTATTTTCAAACTTAAAATACAAACTTCAACAGAAAAAAGGGAAACAACAAAGCAAAAACCATATAAGACAAAAAAAGTGCATTAAAAACATATACATATATTGTACCCCCGATAGATACATTTCAACAATAATTTTCTCCCTTGTAAAACAGGTCTATAGTTCATAAATTTCTACAGCTCTATTTGTCAAGCTAATCTGACCTACCATCTATTTACTGGGGGCGGGAGTTAACAGATAAAGCCAACAACAAAACTAAACTTCAAAGTCCTCTGTTATTAATCTATTATTGTATTTCACATGCAGGAAGTCCACAAAGGCTTCTAATCTACCATAAACCACTGCAATCATTATCGTTGATTTGTATTTTCAATTGATGCTTAATAATAAACATTTTTCTTAAAATTATAATTGAGATCTTTTCCAACAATTGCATCTCGTTCCCCAAAATCATAGTTCTCTGTTGTATCTCCACAACACTTGTTGTTCAGTAGTTTTTCATGCAAGTTGAACCACAACATGTCTTTAACAGTTATCTTCTGACTGAATATAATTCATCTATTCCACAATTTCCATCAGTTTTCTTAAGAAAGTCAAGTTCATTGCCAATCCATATTGCCATCTCTAAGCCTTTTAAATTCATACCCCTTTCAGCCTTCTCTAATAAACCTGCAATTGTTAAACAAAGCTCCTCCTTTAATTCTGTCAGCAAACTGACTTCCAATCCACCCAACCGCAAGTGTACTGTAGCTGCTATTAACTATATCTGAGTATCATCTTTAGGTTGATTTATGCCTGTTGTTAAATCATCAAACCTTTTCTCTAAATTTTCATTCAGAGCTTGTAAGTTGAAAAGCATCTGTTTTTTGAAGGTTTCCAAGAAGGCTTTGACATTAAATTGATCTGGCTCTTGCCTTTCTTTTGTATCTCTTTTTGTGGGCATTTTAAAGAGTATATAATATGTACTGTTAATCCTCAATTTATTGTTGTTTTCATTTTTAATATATTTCAAATTTCTCTTATTGCCAGACTTTCACAACAAAATGTAGGTAATTCTTCTCAAAAACAAAAGGAGCAGATGTTCCATAACAAAATGTCTGCAGAAAAAGGTAAGATATTTCCCGTGATAGAGAGTTTAAAAAAGAAAGAAAATTGCCATCTCTTCAGAGGAAAAAAAAGTGACCAAAAATATATAGAAAAGCAAAATAAAGCAGCAAAGTTTTTTTTAAAAACTAGTAAAATATAAAATCCTTGCAGTAGACTGGTGCAGATATAAATCAAATCAGATCACTTTCATTACCAAGGAGAAAGTCTTTGTGCTGTCACCTTCCACATAGCAAAAATAAAATGTTTCCTGACTCCAAAGCAAAGCAATAAAAAAGTAAAATGTTCACAGTCCAGCAAGGGGGTATAAAATAAACCAACGTTCAATTAATTAAAAATATAGGTCAAAAGCAAAAAAAATGTTCAAAACATAATATTTAAAACTGAAGCACACCTTAAAAAACATCAAATGCTGATAGGAAAAGATGGAGACTCAACCCTGTGGTCGCTCTTATGGAGAAGTGCAATCGTCTAGCTTCCTATTCTCAGGCAAGTACACAGTTGTATGAGTTGTCTTGAGTCTTTCATAGTTCAAATCTGGGAAGCGCACTCCCAAAGAGCCAGCTTTGGAAGCAAAACCAGTTGTTTGTTGGCAGGAGAAATATTCATCCTGCTGCTTGGTGCGCTATTTTCTGGATGATCTTGACACTTAATCCCCTTTAATTATTAAAACATCAACTGGTTTCATTTGTAAAACAATTTTGCCAGATCTAGAGCATCATTTTCCTTATTGCTTTTGTAATGCAGCATTTTTTTAAAAAATCAAATCAGTCAGTTTTATCCAATAAAATTTGTTGTTTTCTATATCTTCTGCTTTAATATCAAACAATCTTGCAAGCAACTTCTCAGTATATTGTTTCCAAGCTACATTAATTTCTTCTATAGTCAAACAGTGTTGCTCAATTGTATCAACAGGTCTGATAAAGGAGAATATTTGTAGCTTAGGGTTTACCCAAACTAGATAACATCATCAGTGCTAGTAAAGAGTGAGGTTTGTTCTCAATTTATATTCCAGTGGCTTGCCCTGTCAGTGTTAGTAGAGAGTGGTCTTGGTGGTTCTTGGGTTGGGCTGTTTACTGTTATATGTTTGGCAGTTCCTTGATTGGGGTATTGTTTACTTCTTGATTGTTGGTCTGATATTAATCTTGGTGTTAATTGTTATTTGGCATTATTACTGTAAGTTGGTATTATTCATAAGGAACAGACGTTTCATAGATTATATCGGAAATACATCACACACTACTTTAGAAGACAATGTGGAGTGAACCATTGTATCTGGTGCACAATCTCTATAAAAGATTCATATTGATACAAGTAAACCTCAGATTATAACTACTCATTCAGCGACCATTCAAAATTTAATGAGGGGGACTTACAGTGGTCCCATGGTCATATGATTGCGATTCAGATGCAATAGAAACTGACATCCATCTCTGAAGCTTGTACAACAATTCCAAGGCCTTCATAGTAGATGGCAACAAAATTGTCTTCTGCCATGCCTAATGCACTTGTTTGAGTGAAGATGTGGGATTGAATCTGCAAGTTGTGCTCTCACAGAAACACAAATGGCAAAATCTCCTGTTTGCAATGCCCAAAAATTGCTAAGCATTCCTTTTATTTTCTAATCAATTGGGTCTAATGAAGATGAGGACAGTAAATTAGAAACTATGGAGTCCTTGATGCTCTCTGAGCTGATTGTATGTTTGCAGACATTTCATTATCCAATTTTCTCTACTACATTTAATAAATTACACAACACCTCTCTTCTTTATCAAATAAAAATTTCCTTACCCTGACCTCTAATAGAAAATTATTAGAAATTACTTTATAGCGAACATGTTTTTAGATCTTTTTAGGCATGTTGCTGGGACTTTGGGCATGCATAAAGGTTGAAGTTCAATTTAATTAGATGGCAACTTTTCGCTCCCTAACTATGTTGAATTGTGCATCTAAATTTACTTACAGATATCTATACATGTATGTACACATACAATATGTGTATGCACTTCCATTTGTACACAATACTGCTTATCAAAATCTTTAATAATCTCAATCATTTTCAATAGTTATATTCAGTTCATTTTTTTAACTAATTATTTGCACTTCACATTATTTGTATTAGTACCACAAAGCCATTAAGAAATAAGTCATCTCTCCTCCTTGGAGTTGTGGGAAGAAGAAATACATATAAGAGACATTCATGGTACTTTCCTCCTAACTTTCCTTGCAACACCTATCTAAGATTCAGTGCAGTTACATTCAGAAGAGATGAGCACTGTCATTTTTTCACAGGTATCTGTTTCTAATATACTCTCGGTACAGGAAGATGTCATCTTTTCCCAAAGGCTGCATAATACCCTTGCTTGCTTGGATGTGAGCATGAAAAATCTCAATAGATTTCCTGTCTACTTTAGGTGGTTGAACTTCATAAATGTTGTCTTGGGAGAAGGCAGAGATGGGTGTTCTACGAAAAGTAAATAAAATAAAATAAATGTTAAATTCGGGAGAAATTTCAAGAGGTAAGATAGAAATTCTAATCCGAGATTTTCTTTTATAGACATCAACAATACCATTCAAAGGCTTCTCTTTCTTAATTATCCACATGGTAATATAAAAAAAAAAAGCGAGTGACATATGCCTTACATGTTTTACTGTCCTCTGTGGTTTTTATCTTGTGACATTGTTAAAGATTTTTAAAAGCTTCCCGTGTCCAAAATATCTGCTACTGAACTGTAGCTCACAAAACTTCAGCATGCAGAAAAGAAGGAAATGATGTAGTCAGACAACCTGGAAGAATTTGCCTATTCTCAAAATTTAGCAGTTATACTAGCTGCTAACTTTCCTACTTCCCTATTTTTTGCTACAATTTATGACGGTCTCTTAAGGAACTTATATTTGTGCTGGCTATGTTTATTTTATTTTATTTATGTCTGTGGAGATTCTCAATCAGCCAGGTCATAGTTATCCCAAAGGAGCTTCTTCACAAGGCAACTGGATTTTCTTGTTTTTCTTTGAAGCTTCTTAGATGAGAAGCGAAGCATCTTCCAAGAAAAACAAGAAAGTCCAGTTGCCTCGTGAAAAAGCTCCTTTAGGATTATTTTATTTAACTTAATTTTATTTTTAATTCTACCTTATTCCCATGTCACTTGATATCAACAAAATTTCATTTCGCTGTTCAATAGTAGTTTAGGTGTTGGAACGAGACCGTACAGACTAGTTCATATTCCTTCACCATGGAATTCATGAGGCAACTTTGGAGCAGGAATTAAGTCTCACCCCAATCAACTTAAGTGTTATTATGTAGTTAAAATAAATAGAAACTTCTATGCACAGTAGTGGGCTGTAGAAGAAAGATGGGACATATAAAAGACAAACAATGTCATAATAGTAATGGTATAAAATCTAATTGGGCACCTATTGTTCTGCTTATGCAACTACTTTAGTCAATAGAAGAGGGACAGGTAAATCTTCCTCCTTTGCTGCCCCTGCCATTACTAAAATTGACTCTGAAGGCTTAGGGACTAGTAAAACCAATTTTGGTGAAAGGAGTATATGTAGGAAGAGAAACTTCTCTTGCGTATATTGAGCAAAGATATTTCTCATCTTTTTTTCTAAAACCCTATGTCAGTGGTGGAGAACCTATGGCATGGGTGCCAGAGGCGGCACTCAGAGCCCTCTCCATGGGCACGCGTGCCGTTGCCCCAGTCCTAGACCTTCAGCTGGGTTTTATAAAACCTTTTCGCTTTAGGCCTCCGCCGCCTTATGCAAAAAAAATAAAAAAGGTTCAATCAGTCAATTTCAACTTCTCACGGAAAAAAAAAGATCTTGCAAAGTTGGAATTGATTGAACTTTTTAGTCCCACCCAGTCTTCCATTACCACTGCAGTCACGCCCATCCAATGGGCCACACCCACCCAATGGGCCACACCCACCCGGCACTCAATGATGCATAAGTGGGTTTTGGGTTGCCATCACTGCCCTATGTTCATGAAGATAATCATGACTGATTATCAGTGTTAACATAGCAGACATCTCTTTCTACTTTTCAATCTATTCTGGGGCTTTCACAGCTATGCAACATTCTACTATGACCATATTTTATCTGTTTCATTACTGTGAATATGTGATGTCCTACCTGGCTCTGTAATGGCTTTGCTGTGATCCCACATGCAGGCCAAACTCTCTTAATAGTATGGTTTCCTATTAGATTTCTATTCTTATATTTAAGTGCACTTCATTTTATTAATTTTGCTCTTCCCATCCCACCATTCAAAAGTCTTCAAAAAATTCTGCTTTTTGTCTTTGTCATTCTGTATATTAGGAACTGCCTAATGACACCACCTATTACTTTACTATTCCATAAGTCAACTTCATGAAAACACTACGAACCCTTAATATTGAAAATAGACTAGAAGATAATAACTTAAGTTTGTGTAGAGTCTCTATATATTGTCTTACTAAAGTAAAAGCGTAAATTATCATTCTGTTCCTCCAAGAAATACATGTTACTTTTCTAAAAGTATCATTTTAATGTTTACTAGTTATTTGGTTAAATACAAAAAAGACAAGGATCCAATCTGGGTTGGTTACCAGGACCAGAGGTTTTGTCTTCTGAACTTTTGGACTCATGATGGAGCCTATCTTCAGGGAAAATGGAGAAAGAAGTTCCCTGAAGATGGGCTCCAGTACAAATCCAAAAGCTCAGAAGACAAAACCTCTTTAGATCCTGCAACATTATCCCAGAACACGTTTATTCATCTTCCTTCGTGACAAAAAAGAGCACAATAATTGAAATAATAATAATTAAAATCTGCAAAACTCATCCTTAATTATTAATCAGAAAAAAGATTGGAAAAGAACTTTTGAAGCAATTTAAGTAGACAGACTGAGCACCTCATACTTACAAATGTATAACTCCATCTAGGTTTTTAGGGCAGAAAGTTTGGGAACTTTTTTCTTGCTTCTGTTGACTCTGTCCCAACTGAACAAACCTATGAACAGAGACAGAACAAGCACACTGGGGAAAGTACTGTCTGAAATAATGAAAATAACATGTTTCTTGCAGACTTTGTAAGAGTCATACATCAGTAAGAGACATCAAGTTCCATTAAAGGCAGCTTGAAAATACAATATCCTTTCCTTGAAGTTAATTTGTGAGTGAGTAATACAAGTGTTGAAATAGTTTTAGGCCAGTGTAAGTTACATTTGAGGTTCTTCATAGCTTCCCTTTCACTAAAAGCCAAATACACTGTATTCAAAGGATCACAGAGTAAATAAAGACAACCTTTTACTAGTAACATCTTAATGTACAAAGGTAAGACTTTATTTATTAATGTATAACCCATACATGTAGTATCTTACATGTAGAAATATATATGTGTTCTTTCCCTAGATTTCATCTAGTGAGAACGAGAGAGTTGAAGGAGTCTTCGTGTGAACACCAGCTAGTCAATTCACTTGTTGAACTAGACTTAATACCCAAAAGCTTAGATATTGCTCAGTAATTGGCTCTAATGAGGCCTATTACCCAGCAGGCTAAATACCATACTCTAGTTCAGGGGTGTCAAACTCAATTTCACTGAGGGCCGCATCAGTATTGCGGATGCCCTTGGGGGGCCGAGTGGGTGTGGCCAGAGTGGGTGCAGCCTATTGGGTGGGCGTGGATGGAGTGGGTGTGACCTAGTGGGTGGGCGTGGCCAGTTCTACATCATTCGCGTCAAGGGGGCCTAAGGGGGCCTGGGCAGGAGTGGGACAGATCTGAGGGTCTCTGGCAGAAGGGGGTGGGACTGGGGCAAGTGCCAAGGCATGGTCCACTGGGGCAAGTGCCAAGATGGCCACCACAAAATTGGCTGGCCTGGGCCAGGGCCAAGGCAGTTGGGGCCGTTCCCTCACTGTTTCCAGGATGGCTTCGCAGGCCACATGAAACCACTTTGCAGGCAGCATCCGGCCCCCGGGCCTTGTGTTTGACATGTCTGCTCTAATTCCATGCTATTACAGCACCAGGCTTAAAAATACCAGCATTAGCAGAAAGGTGCAATATCTATTGGAGTCTTCCTTACTCTTTTCCATACATTGTGAAATCCATAGACAATAGAGATTTGCTCTTAATAACAAGAAATTGTGGACAAGGTGAGTGATTTGCCATGCAATAGATAGCGAGCTTAGTATCACTTGGCAGGCTTTTTAAGTCAAAGCTAGAGTGGCTAGCATCTTGGATTTAAGACTGTGGAAATCTAGATTTAAAATTATATTTAGCAATGCAGCCAATGTGTGGTCTATTTTTTATACCGCTGTTTTGAATTAAAAAAATGGTTAAGCATGATGATGATAATAATCCATACTTTTTACTTCCAGATTTTCTTGGAGATAAAGACATTTTAAAAAAAAGATATAGGTGTTTATTTTAGATACAATTAAGATTAAACAATCTTTAATGATCTATACCCACTAACCTAAGCAAAATAAGCAATCTGTGGATTCTCTCACTGAGGTGAATAGAATGTAAGTGTGCATACTTCTGGTTGAAATATGTCCATTTTCTTTTCATTTTCAAATATTTAGGTTTGTTTTCTATCAGGATTAGCAAGATAATAGGAAAGCCCACCTTGTATATATGCTGAGATCATCTTCTGAAGGAGATTCTGAAAGATTAATCCAATAGACATCTTTGGCAGGTTGCACTACATTCTGAAACAAAGCAAGGTAAGAATCTTAGGGGCAACATGCCTTATACGTTTATTCAAACATTTAAAGAAATACAATTTAAAAAGCAGCAATAGCAATAGCAGAAATAATCTTTAAACACAGAAAATTTGAAAGGATAGGTTTTGTATTGTGTTCAAATTAGCCAACTATTATTGTATAATACAGGGCTTTTCAACCAGTGGTACGGGTACCACCTGTGGTACATTGGCACCTGGCAGGTGGTACGCGACCATCTTAGAAAAGTGGTAGCAGGGGAGGGGAATGAGCTGAACCGGTGGCAGCACCGCACAAGCCTGAGCGAGAGATGGCTGGAGCTGCAGGGCTGTCAGGGCTCAGTGGAAGCACCAGGATCAGCGTTTCTTCGGGGCTGTCAGGGCTCAATGGAAGCGCCAGGATCAGTGCCAGGCTCCAGATGGACCCAGAAGAAGCACTGATCAGCTAGAATGTTGCAGCATCTCCAGGGTCTTGTGATTTACATTCAGATGCTTGGCAATTGATTCATATTTATGATGGTCACAGTGTCTCAGGGTCATGTGAAGTGACCAAAACCTGCTGCAACCACCCAGCAGACGGGGGGAATAAAAACCAAACACCCCCCCACCGCTTCCAATCCTCAACAGAAATGCTCACAACAATGAAAACCTCGGACAGGAGGAAGAACGCTACCAGGTGGGCAGGCAGGTGTCTTGCTCGGCTGTGGCTTGGGGGGAACTTTTTTCAGTGCCATTGTAACTGTTGTAAGTTGAGGACTACCTGTACTTTATCACTTTTTTCCTTTTTTGGGGGGGGGGTCATCAAGTTTTTGACACCTTGCTAAGCAACTGGTAGTACTCAGATATTGCCATATCCTAAAAGTGGTACAATAGGTGAAAAGGTTGAAAAGCCCTGGTATAATACACCTGAGAACCAAACATAAATATAAAATTCAATAATTATTAAACATAATGCATATCATAAAAGGATTGGGTATAAAACTACCAATACAATAATTCCCTAATATAACTTTTGGGTGTAACTCTATTGATTACAGCATATAATTGGGTCTCAACAATGATACCATGGAGCTAGGAGATGTGCCAAAAACGACCATGTTATTATGGAAATAATTTTAGAAGCCTAGAACATATCCCCTAAGAAAAAATATGACAACTTAAACCATTTTTAACTTTTAAAAAAGGGGCATCTGGTTATACATTGACATGTGTGTTTATGTATATATATGTGTGAGTCTGTGAGCATATATGTACACAGTATGTTATTCGTATTCGTACATGATATAATACAATATTCTTAACCACAATATCAGCAGTATCAGAATTCACTGAAGCTACATGCAAAGAAAACCAAGGCCAATAAAATAAGTTTTTATGACAAACCTGCGTACAGTATATGTGGTTCAATATATGTGTCTTGTAAATGATACTACAATACTTTTCCTCCTAATACTATAGATCCAGCACAAGGTATATCCAGCACAATCACTTTTTACGCAGTACAGTACATTAAGCTGTTATCATTAGTTATCAACTTTATCATTCAATTCTGGAGTTATTGGGTTCAGATGCTAGTACTTTCCTGATTTTGTTATCCAGGCATCTGAACGGAATATCTTACTTGACCAGGCAAAAGAAGAATACATCTAGCCTAATTATCAGCTTTCATTTATCTCTGCAAAATTTGTCAGAACGTTGCTACAAAATATATCCTGTTTAATCCTTTGCTCTTCATATTTATCCCTTGTAGCAACATGGTTGAAAGGATAAAAGGGAGACTCAACCTTCTTCTCCCAGAAGGACTCTGGGTTTACACGTTCTGGCTACCTTCTTGCTGTAGTATAACTGAAGATAGTTATTACTAACATCACCTATCTTCCACAGAGGAAGACTGCCTTTACTTAGAATTCCTCTCACTTAACCTTCCTCACAGCCAGGATGCTTTATTGACAAATAATAAAAACAATGAGCTGATAAAAAAAGAAATGCAATTTCTACTTTCGTATCAAGAGGGGTGTGACTAGGGATAATCAGTCCCCCACCTTCTTTGGAGACAGAGCAATCTCACAAACAATACATTACTTTATTTCTTTAACTTTTTTAAAAAAAGGAGTGGGGGAAGTAAATACAAACATTTAAGGCATAGGTACAACATTCAATAGCCAATATGGAACCATTCAGAACAGACACAACATCAGAAAAGGATTTCTCACAACCCCGTAAAAGTCTATTAAGGTTCTGGGTAATCACAAGATATTGTTAGTCTGAACTCTGATGTATAAAGGTTCCACATTGCATAAAAGCACACAATCTACTGACCATGAATCCAGAGCTTAATTTCTTCAGATACTAAATTAAGCTTAGACACCATACAGAAAAAGAAATTCTTAGCTAATCTTTTCCTACATTAACCTTAGAGCATATGTTACCACAGTGTCAATTATGCTGTGCAGAAATCCTGTTTCCTGCCAATTTTCATTTCAAGCTGAGGCTGAATGGAAATAATAAATCTTACTGGTTCCCAGCCTCTTGTCTAGCCATTTCTACTCTATAGTCAAAAACACCAACCACTTTTCTCTCCAGAGAAAGGAAGGGAGATCTCCCTGCATACATGCTCCCAACCACCCTTGAGGGAAAGTATCTTTCATCAGGAGTATTCCTTTTGAGACAAAGTTATATACTGGGTATATTTGGGTTTGCAGTTAACAGCGCAGAGTCCTGGTAAAAATTTGGCTTCATTTATAAAGCAAGTTCCTCATTAGAACTTTCTTCACAGTCAGGGTAGCAATTACATAGCTATTTCATGTGTAAGAAGAATCTTGACATGTTTGATATTTTTGCGTTTTGGTCAGATTGGCCTCACAGAGCAGGCTCTTTTTATATTCTTATGCTGTTTTTCTGTTTCATTCACTCTTCAAATGCTTTTTTCCCCTTGTAAAGAGCCTCCATCCCAAAAGCCCATCCATTTGGCTCCCGATCTCAAGACCTCTCAACTCTCCATCCCCACTTCATTTATTATATTCAACAACAGATATATTTGCTCCAACTAAAGAACTTACAAGCATGGCTGCCTTGGCTATCCTATGTTTCTCCAAAAGTAGTCGTAGTGTGACTCAAACTGTAGACCCGCTCTCACCAACTACCACAAGCTGGAATGCTTGATGCACAGCTATAGTATCTGTATCTCCAGCTTCCTCACAAAAGAAAGAAAGGTTCAATGAAGACTGAGAAAAGCTGTGAACATGGCTGTGATAATTTATAGGCATTTCTGTCCTTTTAAAGTGATTTCAGAGCTAGGCAATGTCATCAGGGCAAAAGCATAAATCTGATTCTCACATACTAGTGATATTTATTACCCTGTATAAGGGGAGTGAAAAAGAATTAGGCTATTGGGTTTGATTTACAGAATGCAGAATAACAGTTGGAAAAGACTTTGGAGGTGTTCTAATCCAATCTCCTGCTCAAGCAGGAAACCCTATACCATTTCAGACAAATGGCTTCCAATCTCTTCTTTAAAATCTCCAGTGATGGAGCACCCAAAACTTATGAAGGAAAGCTGTTCCATTGATTAATTGTTCTTATTGTCAAGAAATCTTTTTGTATGAATAAATGGAAAATAAAAAATTTTTAATAAAAAAAAAAGAAATCTCTCATTAGCTAGGTTGGATCTCTCTCTGATAAGTTTCCATCCATTACTTTTTATCTTGCCCTCAAGGTGCTTTGGTGAACAGGTTGTCCCCCTCTTCTCTGTGACAATCCCTCAAATATTGGAAGACTGCTATCATGTCACCCCAGTCCTTCTCTTCATAAGACTAGACATACCAAATTCCTGCAACCGTTCTTCATGTTTTAGCCTCTAACCCTCTAATCATCTTTGTTGCTCTTCTCTACACTCTTTCTAGAGCAGTGGTTCTCAACCTGTGGGTCGGGACCCCATTTGGGGTCAAACGACCATTTCATGGGGGTCGCCAAACCATGCTGTCCGCCATTTTTTCCCTTTTCCCTAGCTGTCCTACTCCTTCTTATTGGTGGCCACACCCATTTGGGGGTCACCACAACATGGGGAACTGTATTATGGGGTCACGGCATTAGAAAGATTGAGAACCACTGTTCTAGAGACTCAATATGTTTTTGTATCACAATGACCAAAATTGGATACAATATTCCAAGTGTGCTCTTACCAAAGCAATATATAGTGGTACTTCATATGATCTTCCTACTATTCCTCTGTTGATGCAGACTAGACTGCATTGGCTTTTTTGGCAGCTGTGGCACACTGTTAGCTAATACTTAAATGGTTGTCCACTAGGAGTCCTAGTTCCCTCTCACAGTTCCTGTTCTTTCTTTACCGTAAAAGAAGATACTAATTAGAATACATTGCTTGCATGAGACATGTTAGCTAGACATTAATCCTACGCGGAATCTTACAGCCTATGGAGAGACAGTATTTGAACATTTTCATGCCAGATAACAAAAACAAAAGCTTCTTTACTCCATTTCACACACAAACTCTTATTTCTATCTTTGCAACAGGGCAGCATCTTCCAACACACTTGAAAGATAACTTTTATAGGGAGAACAGGCATCAATAGAATCAAAAGAATTTCCCCAATACTTCTGAAATACTTGGCTTAATGTCATGGTTCCTACAGATGAAACTCTTCAAAGAACTTCGAGGCATTGTTTACCTTAAAGAATCTTTATGGGAGTAGCATAAAGCTTGGGCACTAACATAGTTCAAGCCAAAAACTGGATTCCCCTCCCCTGAGCACATAGTATCAAAGCACAATTCCCTCCTTCAATTAACAGTCATAAATCACATTCTCCAATTAGTTTGAAATGCAAGCTTTCCCTCCTGTTCTGCTACCAGCCAATTCTTATCATCTCTTATTTCACACACTAGTACAATATTGTTATGTCTAACTAACTGCCAGCACATTCCGCCTCCTCCCACAGCATCATCTAATTCTAAAGCATAAGAAAGAAAAA